GACTGTCCTTAACCGCGAGACCTTGTTTTTAAGTAACAAAAATGTGCAAAGCAGTTTTCGTTAACTTCTCCGGACCGCGTGACACACACATGGTGTGTCATGCATTTTCCTATCTGCACCGTTTCTTACGGTCTATTTGGCACCTTGTTCGTGCTCCAAGACTATCAGTACACGATTTTTTGACGCGGAGTACGCATATCTCATAGGAATGTGAAAGAAACAGATGAAATTACGGATTCACGATTTGAAAAGTAACGAAATGGTGCGGAGATCCTCGCACAACGGCGGTCCGTAATGTATTAACCAGTTGTGAATTTTAAGGTGGGAAAAGTCATCGATTTGGATGTTTCATTTAAATGCTCCTCGTTCGGTCAGCGCATAGATATCGCCAGACAACTGAAAAATGCTTGATTACAGAGGAGCGAATGCAGTCATCATTAACTTCAATCACCCTAATACGTTTGTGGATGAATAATTCGGATTTTTCGTTTAGGTAGTGGCTCACATTGGGTCGTTACTTGAGGCGACTTCAGAGGCGTTGGAATTACAACAACTTCTACACTCAAACATCATAGAGGTAAGTGCAACAACAAGGTCTATTCCAGTGCGGCTTTACGGATCGCCTCCTACCCGGAGCATTCATGCAATGAAGGAATATAAATTGGACTGGATGGTATTAAGCAGGCGGCTCATCCATGCACCCTTTCACTTTCTTTGCTTTTTTTCTCATCAAGATAACATGAAAGGAAAGTCGTCTGTGATAACATGATAGACAACTTTCACCACATCTTTTGCTTAGAGTGGTCACTAGCTCTTCGAGCGGAAAATTCGAATGTTAATGCTTAGTTCGGTCACTCCCTCAGGTCTGATTCAGAAGAAGGCGGCACACAGAATTTTTCACTGGCGTAGAGAGAGAGAAAGCGAGGGCGGCTCTGATTGATGTAGTCAATTATTTAATTGACCAGTCGGATCACGTGGCTGCCTCCGGGTGCTCCTCATTCCATTACGGCGCGGTTTCGCCGGGCTGACCTACCTTTGCTTGACGCTCTTCCCTTGGGCGAGGTAGAATGATGCTAATTGTGCCAGTGTGGCGGCAGTTTCTTTTTCTCATTAAAATGTAGGAAAAACAGCGAAATAGCTCAACATCAGCCATTATCTACCGATATCTGGTCCGTGTTGCTTACTACAGAGTTTCAACCGTGAGGAGGCTGCACCATATCATTAAGGACCGCAGTTGCGACATCAGAATGGGTAAAGTTGAATTAGTCCGGATGAGTCTTTAACACCCTGAACGCATAACTGCAGATTCATGGGTGGCACTGCAAAAGAGAACTCCACACTGCTTGTGCATGTCAAAGTGTGTGTGGCACGGAGAGCTCGAATGTTACCACCGACAGACGTCCCCACTTCCAACTGTTGGGTTCCTTCCTTATTTTGCTTTAGGCGACCGCCACTTCTTAACGCATCGCATAGCAGGTAGATTTGCGAATTTTTTTGTAGATTTGCGAAATTTTTTTGATAGATGGATTTCTCGATTTTCCCGTTTCAGCTGCACTATATACCATAAAAATGTTGCACACACGGTATCTTCTCTGTTTTTATCGACTGTTAAGATTACCTGCCACCTGTCGTCAATATCCTCATCACTGAATCTATGATTTGATAGCGTGAACCACCTTGAACAGCGACGACGACTGCAACGTCCCTTATCAGCCCCTATCAGTAGTTGTGGTGTCCAGTCACCCACGGTTGATGTCCCCATCTCACCCACTATATCTTTTGCTGTCACCATTCTAGCGCCCTTTATCGAATCTTATCAGCCGCTTACAGTTCTTGTCACCCACCAGTAATGTTCTTGGCCCACACCCTGTATCGTACCTTGGAATCAAAAGCTAGCTGATGCTTTCACCCGCTTTATGAATATGGTAACCTTCTCCTTGTCACACATCTTGTCGGATCTTATCAACTGATATTACTTCCTGTCACCCACCAATGGTGTTCCCCTCACACCCCCTACATCACTTCTTGAAATCAATCTCTCACTGCTACTGAGACCGTCGCTATGAATTTCGTGACAAGCAGACGGACACACACACGTACAGACAACTTAGCGAATTAATACCATTTTCACTTCAAATTCACCCTTTTTCAAACCAATTTCACCCTTTTTCAAACCAAATTCACCCGTTTTCAAACTAGATTCACCCACCTTCCCAAATCGAATTCACCCACCTTCCGAATCGAGTTAACCCACCTTCCAAATCGAATTCAGCCACCTTCCGAATCGAGTTCACCCACCTTCCAAATCGACTTCACCACACTTATTAGGCCGCGCATTCATCAACAAAATCACGCCAGACACCACTGCTGGCCCCGCCCGCTCGGCCACGCCCACTTGCTTTTTGCGGAGTTTGATATTTTTTCAAAATTTTTGCATTTTTGGACTGCTACGTGAAGCCCCCTATGATCCTTGCAGCCTCGCCCGAGCGGTCCCAGCCGATGTCGCCCTGTCGGTGGTTCCCTCAGGTTCAGGGGAATGAGGCCCATAATTCTGTTTTCGGCGAGAAGAAATTGACCACGCGTAGCTCGCCAGGCTCTGACGTGGCACCCTCCGCATTGGTACGTTTTTGGAACAGTACAAACCGTTCACCCCCATGCCACGATGAGGCTGCGGATAGGATTTGTGGGGGGGGGATCAGACCCGAGCTTCTGAAGATCTTCCGCCAGTTCTCGTCAAAACTCTGGCTCGACTGTTCACGCGAATGCAAGGTACCCACTCGTGGAAAACCAGCAAGACTGTGTTGCTGCACAAGAAGGGAGACCTGTACGACATTGGCAATTATCGCCCAATCTGCCTGGTGTCTGTAGTCTACAAGCCCTTCACACGAGTCATCTTGAACAGGATTGGCAGAACAGACGAAGGACAGCCATGCGAGCAAGCCGAAGAGGATTCAGCACGATTGATCACATCCACACGGTAACGAAGCTCATTGAAGTATCGCGAGAGTACAAGGTGCCGCTATGTCTCACGTTCATCGACTTGAAGAAAACCTTCGACTCCGTTGAGACAGAAGCGCTTATCGAAGACCTGGGCAACCAGGGTAATCCTACTCAACATCAGGATTCCTCGTGAGCTCTACAGCAACTTCACGACCAAGATCTCACCATTCTCGACAAGGAGATCATCAATCGGGTGAAGAGAAGGGTCCGCAGGGCGACACCATCTCGCCTCATGCTCTTTCAGCGTCCGTCTCTCGGAGAACTCATTGCGTCGCTGGAATGGGAAAAGACCATGGCGAGCGAACATTGACGGTCGGCAACTAACCATGCCCCCTCCGCTTTGCTGCCATCGTTTTTGGTAAGACGCAAATACTCGAGCAGCAGATACGAATGCTGGCTGATTGTTCGACTTGCGCGTGTGGAAAAATCGGTTTACGTGCTGAATCACACGAGGACTTCCGTGATGTTTCAATAGAAAAACGGATTGGTATCGTGAATCCTCCAATTCACGCTCAACGGACACGGCATCTTTGAATGCTCTAGCTATGGTGTACCTAGGTCGTGAAATTAATCTTGAATGAATTGACTATTAGTGCCAGAGTGAGCAGGAGGAAGTGAGACGGCTTGGGTAGCCTTCAAGAACATCGAGGGAGTAGCGAAGAAGACGAAGGACCCAAAGCGCCGTGTCCCCCACCTCTTCGCATTTCCGCGTGTCCTTCCTGCCTTGACGTACGCCTCAAGAGAATTGGACTCTCCGAAAGCAGGATGAACATGCAGTTAGCGTTAATTTAACGCGCCATTGAAAGGGCGATGCCTCGAGTTTTCCCGCACAGCAAGTGAGAGAAGGGAATCCGGAGCTCGCGGTATCCGCCGACGATCGAAGATCAGAGACGTGGGTTGCGATTGGCCAGGCCGCATTTGCGAAGGTTCGAAGATCAGGTGGGCCGGTACACGTCTTGCGGTTTCGAGGACGACCGCTGAACCTGAGCGATCACCTGGACTGGATCTCCACGGGATGTCCAAGCGGACTCGGACGAGGCCCCGCCCCCCCTAACTTGCCAACGGTCACAGACTTCTTCGTGAAGAGCTCTGAACGACGGTATGAGTTCATCGTGTCGCCTCGGCAGAGAGGTCCATTGGGCAACTCTTGCACGTTGCAGAAACGAATGGAGAACGTTACTGCGCCGCTTCGAGGAATCTCGATATCAACGGGAGCCAGGTTGACAGGTGTACGTGAAGTCCTGCGCCATTGTGAGGGCACCCCACCACTTGCGAATAGGCCTCGCCCACTTTTCAAAAATTGTGTAAATCGGCAGTATAGGGTCTCGGCCGGTATGCTAGGGTATTGCTTATCATTTAGAACAAACTTTGCCTGATTTTCTTGTTCCCAGTGACGAAGACCCTATACTGCCGATTTGCGATATTTTTGAAAAATGGGCGGGGCTTCTCCCAAGTGGGCGGAGCCTTTCACGGTGGACGGGGCTTCACGTAGCAGTCCATAAATGCAAAACTAAATATCAAAATTCCGCAAAAAGCAAGTGGGCATGGCCGAGGGGGCGCGGCCAGCAGTAGTGCCTGGCGTGATTTGATGAATTGCGCGGCCTAATAAGTGTGTTGAAGTCGATTTGGAAGGTGGGTGAACTCGATTCGGAAAGTGGCTGAATTCGATTTCGAAGGTGGGTGAACTCGATTCGGAAGGTGGGTGAATTAGATTTGGGAAGGTGGATGAATTCGCTTTGAAAAGTGGTGAATTTAAAGTGAAAATGGTATATACAGGGGGGCCAATAAAATGTCACTTTGCTTCATTGACTTTCGGGGCGCTATAAGTTACACTTTATAGATTCTAAGTTAACGAATAGCTGATGCTGTGTCCTCAGTTATGAATATGGTGACCTCGTCGCTCTAACTCCTCTTATCAAATCTTATCAGCTGCTAGCAGTTATTGTCATCCACCGATAATGTTCTCGTCCCGAACCCTGCACCATATCATGAAAACAGCGTCTAAACGATGCTGTGATCGGCGCTATGTACTCGGTAATCCTCTCTTTCTCGCGCTTCTTATCAGATCTAATCACCTGATGTCATTCCCCGTCACCCACCACTTGTATTCCTGTCCCATATCTTGCATAGGTTGGAAGGAAAGTCCTGTCACTGTTTTTTGAAAAGCTTACAGTTTTGTTTCTCAATGCTTGAACATAACGTAACGTGCCATGCTTGCAGAACATTCTAAGAGCTTTTGCGCAAGAGGCGTGAGGGCGCCTGCTCTTTCCTGGGTCTAATTACGATGTCAGTTTCACAGAAGCGTCTTCGGGTCATCATGTTCTGTCAGTGGTCCCGCGGCACTGGTGCAGCGGCAGATGAGAGAAAGTTTGTCTTGTGAAACGGCGTCACCCAATGCTATCCCACAGTTATTATATAACTCAAGATCTGATTGTTTCACTTTCTTTTCATGAAATTAGTTCAAGAACAAACATTTTGCGGGTCGAGGGATATTGTTCCTCAGGAGATCAAACCACCCCGGGAGACAAATTTTCAGTCAATTCTGTCCCCAGAGGGAGAATTAGGTAAAAATGGCCTGATTTTGGAAGAATGGAGCAATAAGAGCTAAATTGTTGTTAAAGATTCGAGATTGCTACACTCGTCTCTTGCACTTGCTCTATACTTTTCGGTCGGTCAGTAATTCATTTATTGGAAATCACTAGGTTTCAGTGCTAGAAAATGGTGCCGTCCCTAGTGCGCAATCATGCTGGAAATGGCTGTCGTTACAACGTGTTAAGAAAGCCTGTTAGATGTTCTGCCAAGCACACATGTCACTTCATGTGAGCCATCAGAATTCAAAAGCTGTAAGCTGTTTAGAAAACACTGACATGCGACTTTCTTTCCAGCCTAAATTTCGGTTTCAGCGGGTGCTCATATACTCAGTGATTCCCTCAACTTGGTCTAGCCATCGCGTACAATGAATTTCTCTTCTTTTAGACGTATTGTGACGCACTTTCGCGTTGGTATCCATTCCTATGATTTGATTTTCTCCCATTCTCTTTCAGTGCATCTTTAGTTGATGATTTTTGCATGTGCCCACTTGTGCAACTTATTCTTGTGTTATCGTTTTTCTCAACTCCTATTCCCTATGAGTCCGATGTCCTTGTTCGTCAACCCCTACCATCGGTGAGGAGGGCTGGGCAAGGGGCTGGCGGACAATAAGGTTCAGTTGAACGTAACAGCCTAAAACGGACACTTTTCTTTTGAAATGTGTTTCTTTACCAGATTGTGTTTTTCTTTGTTTCGATTGATATCTCCATACACTCGCATGTATGCAGATTATGGGTGAGGCTCAATGAACTCAACGGTGAATGGAGCGTCGCTTCGGCACCGTTCAGGCTGCCAACGCACTCTAGGACGAGTCGCCCCTCAACAAGTCGCGAGGAAGAACGAGTCACATCTTTGCACATAGTCAAGTTTAAGTACATGCCGATGCCACTGCAGCTGCTAAGAAGACGCCCTCTAAAGATTTCTTTTCCATCCCTTTTCGCATTTCCATAGTAGCTCAGCGGAAATGTCCGGTTTTACCATGCTATGTCCCCCATAGCATGCAAGAAATCTTTTTGAAACGCGCTGCGGTGTTGAACGACCTCTTCTTGAGTTCAGTGGTGAAAGTCGCTGAGATAGGAAATACCTTTATGGTTCCAGTCGAAAAACAAAACTGCTTTGTTGAATAGTTTCGGTAATAAGGCCCCTGCCAAAATCCAAAGCTGTGCACATTGCTTAGCTCTTCTTACTTTCTATAATTTCGGTAGCCTAATTTCTGGGCTATTAGAGCGTGTCATCCTATGCCAGTGTTGTACGACAAAATAGAGAAGGTAAACATTGGCGCGGAGAAAGGATGGCATGGTTTCAACATCATAGCCATACTTATAAAATCTATTATCTCGCTCAGATGAGATGTGAGGTAATCGCTGATCTTTGTTTACACACAAGTCCACGTAAACCTGAAACGCGCGAGGGGGAACCCTTGGGGTATCCTTTATCCTCTTACAAGGGAGAGTCGTTAAGGGCTAGGTGAGCTTTTTCAAAATAAGCCTTGCTGACAGACTGTAGGGGCACATACGCAGAGACCAGGAAGCTGAAGGTTCAGATCTTTCGCCTGCCGCTGCTATCTACGAATAAAAAAAATGACCCCAAAAATAAGATTCACATGGTATCGGATCCCACGAGCGACAAAATTTTGCTTTTCTACAAGTTTTTCATTTTGTTGGCATCCAGTATTTGATCTAAATACAGTGTCACCTTAACAAAAACATTCGCCATAAACTGAAGAATCCTAATATTTATGGCAGCAAAACTCGTTTTCAGTTAGAAAATTCGTCTGTATGCACAGATCAGCTTTCAGGCACATATCGGGTCCAGAATGGCACTGAAACCGAAATAAAGGCACTAGAATCGTGATCAGCGACTGTCGATTACACCTGAGAGCAACGTTTTGACAGCGAAAAATTTGGGTTTTCGACTTTTCAGGTGGTAGGGTGACCGACTATTTGTCGGCAGTAGTGAGCCGGAGTTTCACATCTTCGTAACAGCATTGACGTATCGTTGACGCTACGGACCCCGGACAACCCTATAAGCACACCCAAGAAGGTCAAAACAGTTGTTTTAACCGAAAATACGTTTTTAGTGGTAATCATTGCCCCTGATCACAAACATAACACCTATTCTTGGCGTCCACGCAATCTGGCGACAGAATAGCGGTGAACGTTCCCTAGAATTCAGTGGAAAAAAGATGTAGCCCCAAAGTGTCTATAATTAACACCACACCAGAAGTTACTAAATTCGCAATCAGATCCACTGTATAGCCTATGAGGATCAACGTCCAGCAGCAATATTGTTCAATGGTGTGTGAAAATCGAAGTAGTTGAAATAAGCACTGACTCATGAGGTACAGCTACACAGAATGTGCTCATAAATGGCAAATATCCGAGCTTTATTCATGCGCAGACACAAATGGAAGCGAGGACAGCGAAATCTAAAAAATGCAAAAAGCCACGACGCAAGGGGAGCCGAACCTTCAACCCCACCCTCACTGTGTTTGGGAAACCTCCACGCTATTCGCTAGGCCATCCGACGCACGACTCTGCGTAGCGCTCTAATCGTTGATGAAACCATTGCAAGAAGCCGTTCACCCTTGAGCACGTGACCCAAGTTGGAAGCTCACTTGCGGCAATTTCTCGCTTCGATTCGAATAGCCGCTTCATAAGGACTCCCACTAAGCAGCTGGTCAAAGTTGCAAGTGACCTACGCCGTATAGAGGCCCAGAACGAAGCAGATTCCAAAGATTTCTTTTCACTCGCTTTTTACTTTTCCTGGAAGCGCGCAGCGAAAATGAAGCACACTTTTCCGGTCCTTGCATGTGCCCCTTCAATATGCAGAAAACCGTTTTCGAAAAGCGCACCATGCCCTGAACGACCTCCTTTGTCAGTGCTGCTGTAGCTGTAATCAAGCTGGTATAACATTTTAATTCGGCTAACATTTCGGCAATGTCGCCTTCGTCAGAGCAAAGTCAAAGATCAGTGTGAAGTACCCCCAAAAATCATTTGAAAATTATCATCATCTGTGACAAGCCTCTAGACGCCTCTGGTCTAGAAAGAACTGGTCTGAAGTTTTAAATCGTTTTTTAAGGGGGAGGGGTTGTTGACACTAAACTTTGACTTTTCCAGGCTGACGAAGGGGATCACGGCGAAACTTCAGTCAAATAAAATTGTTATATCATCTTGGTTACGGCTACAGGAGCACCCAGACAAGACCTCTTAACATGCCAAGATTCATCAAGGGTCGAACCTGGTCTCCGAGACATCGACTTTACACGGACTTTGCCCTCGGAGGCGAACTAAAGACAGTTTCCTTCATCCCCCCCCCCCTTCTCCTGTTGAACCTTCATTTCTTTCACTCCAATCAGAAGTCTGGACTTAGTTTTGTTGGTTCGAGCATCTATCTTGTGGCTACGGATTATGGATGTCCACAGATGTTTTTATATCTTTCATTTTCCATGCCGATCGTACATGTTCCAGGCATGCCTACGAGCTCATGACATTGTGGTTTCGGAGGTGTATTATCTTGCAGATGAAACGGGATTCTCAACAGCATCTTCCTGATGCAGTAGCAGGTAATGTCGACTACGTTTCTTTTTCATAATGCACTAATAACAATCGTTCCGTACGGAGAGTTTCCTCGTTTGAAAATGTGAATATAAATAAACATGAAAGTGCCATTGTCTGACTTTATGAAACTCGGGCTCTTTTCATGTCGAGTGAAGCTTTCCGAATTGTTCCACGAGGTTTTTGACAGCTTTAACAACCTTGTGGAATGCTTCGAAAAACATTACAGCAATAAACATGGAAGTATTAGGTCATCCCAATCAAAAATATGGAAGATTTCATTCATATAAAACGAAGAGGAGAAAGATAAAAAGATAAAAAAGTAGTATTTTGGTGTGACCTTATGTAGATCTCTCCCTCATCAATTACCTGCTCCCAAAGCATGTGGACCATTGGTACCTTCGTTTTCTCAACAAGTGCAAGTAAATTGCTGTTGATGTTAGTCTCGGTGAATGACAAAACGTTGTTGCGTTTGCCGTCGGACGTACCTTCGACTGACCAGAACAGTTGAGATCGCACAATTTCATGTTGGGTGTATGAAGCGATTGAACCCAGGTCATAGTACTGTTTGTGTTCCAGCACTGCCCTGTAATACAGTTACTCTGGGTCGGCACTCGAGCAACAGTGGCCTTGCAGTTGTGGGGTACCATCCATTTGTCGATCTAACTGTCGAGGAACAGGCAATATGCACCAACAACGAAGATTTTGTTCCCTCTATAGAGCCGCTCGTAAGCCACAGTGCAGAAATCCTTCACTATGATTGTCATTCACATTGGCACACGTGACTCCTCACGGCAGAATTCGGACGGCTTCTCATCTGAATTCATACAAAACTGACGATTGTGAGTTTTGACTCGAGGTCCAAGACCACCGATATTTCATTTAGAGCCAGGAGGCGTTTTCATATTTGTGAATGACATCTTATGCGGGGAACATTACCGCCACAGGCATAGAATCGGTAGTGTGTTTGTGCTTCTACAAGAAGTCTAGGTCTCAATTTATCGGACATAACTCGGGCAGCAGTAGAAGCAGGGATGTCACACTTGAGAGGAAGCTCGACAAGGGTTCAGCATCTGTGATACGACATTCAGCGCTTGACCTCATCCACTCTTTTTTCTTGTACGGAATGAACATTATGAGACTATCCGCGACAACAAATTTTTTTCCTTTCTCACTTGTTCGGGCTTCTAAACCGAATTTTTCACCTTGCATTCCGAGAACTTACACGTAACTACTGGTCCGGCACAGGTTAAATTTGAGCAGCGCACTTTCTTCTTATGACGCCTGATTCAAAAATCCGGCGCTCATCGCCTTCTTCAAAGCCTGGAAGGTCGAAAGACATTCAGGGACCCCTTCGCTCAAACAACTTTTCAACTTACAGGAAAATTCAAAAGGGCCGTCAGCTACGGAGAAATGTCATAGGGGCTCTGAAATGACCTTTGGGAAAGTCGGCCAGGGAGGTCCAGCTGTCACCTGAGCTGGTCGTACGGTTTAACCCATTGCGTACCGCGTGCTGCACATGGTGAAGCACTCTTAGTATGAACTCATTTAGCATTGTTAGATGACTGGAAAGATGTTAGTATATTTCCTGAGTCGCAGGGACAAAATATGTGTGGTGGGCAAATTGCGAGATTGGATAAATACTTATGTTGCTAGCATTTTTCGAGTAATACACCTCAACTATTACATTTTTTAATTGACTCTCCTTTACCAATAAAACGAAATCCTGCTTAGTATACGACTGAAAAATTGTAAAAATGGTGTGAGTGAACAGCTTCTAAGCACACTGGTGTCGCTTTTTTCAACTCCTCTTAATTTTATCAAGCTTTTTTGGCTAGTTCCGCATTTTTTCGGCTTTACTCTTTTATCACGTAAACAATATATGAATCCCTTTAGTATAGCCGATATACTTATAAAAGTGATGCATAATATGATGTGTGTGCAATATTTTTATGTATATGTAATAAGATGAAAATCTATATTTTTTATTACTCAGCGCCGCCAGAAATCGCATCGCGCAAATACACTGCGGTACGCAATGGGTTAATAGGGAGCCCTGGGCCACTTGTTTAAGGACCTCCAGAGGGTCGATCATGTAGATCAATCAACGAAGTTCCAGGGAGTGAGTGCGGCGCTGACCTTCAACGAGCCCATCCTGTCGATCACTTCATAAGCTCCCAATCTCACCATGTAGACCTCGCGGAGGATGGACCCCGTGAGTCGATCAAAACTCATACAGGTGCGCGAAGAGCGCCTGCTCTGCGGCGACTCATGCACTCTCGGTGGTTACGGGATGTCCGGCAATTTACCGTGGAACTTTGAATGGAGACCCGGGTAGATCGATAGAGTATGTAATGCTATTCACAAATATAGATGTCAGACTGCATTTCACAAATGACTTATGAGCAGGTAAAGTTTGTGATGGTACAGTGCATGGATGGTTGGTGATGAGCCACGAAGCATAAGCAAGCTTCGTGTGGGACAAAACATGTCCTGGCGGCTCAGCGGTAAGGTTCTCGTCCCACAGGTACAACATGATCGTTCGGTTCCCGTGAGCCACGAACTTTTTTCTTCAATTCTAATTCATGATTTTTACCCGGTTTTTCGAATTGCGTACGGATCAATACCTGTCCATCACTTGATTTACGTTCCTCGTTATCTGTTCGTGCCGGGGTCCTGATCCGTTTCGTTTTCGTTCTTCATAGGGCGGAGAAGAACATATGCAGAAGTTGTGTGAGCAAAGTGGCGCTGGCCGGAATATTGTGATCTTGCCTTGCAGCGTGTAAGTGCAAAGATCAAGAACTCTACCGCGCCCTCGAGCTGTATTGCACCATGCTACCCGCCTTCAGGTGTGGCTTCCTCAGTGGTGTCGGTACCACGGTAGGACGACCATGAGTCTACAGTGAGGTAAGCCAACACGCAGGTATACCTCATCTCTAGCTGCTGCTGATGTGTCAAAGTGAACCATGTTTTCGATCTCAACATTGCTGCAACGGCCTTCGTCGTCGTCGTCGCAGTAGTCCGACTCAGATTCCATAGAGACATCGAATTCCGAGCTTTCTTTGGTTTTGCTTTACGCCACCTGCGACACCGTCGCGCAGTATAGCAGCTAACCTTGCGACAATTTTTCCCTCCCGAGTTACAGCGCCGTTGTATTCGAAAGATTATGAAATTCGGAAGAGAAACTGGTCTGACTTCTGGTAACAAAAGCAGGATTTCGAATGTAATAACATTATGGTCAGATCCAGCGAAGGGAGGACCTACATATAAATCCTTGATCACTGAGTCATTGTTTAGTACAATGTCCAAAGTTGAAGTTTCACGAGTAGGTTCACATACTGGGTCAAAGCACAGCACTTGCAAACGTCAAGCAGAGCATCAATGAGACCTTCATCTTCCTCGGAACTAGAGTTCGGAGGCTGATACGTTCACACTATTTTGAACAGTAAAGACGCATCTCTATCAAATCCTTGATGGCAGAGAAGCTCCGCCTTTGGGCGTGAGGTTGCGACAGTGGTCAAACCGATTGCGTTCTTTGCTAGACAACACCACCACTGCGTCTATTACGGTCAATGCGAAAAACATTGTAAGGGCGACCGCAAAGAATTTTAGCATCGGAAGTTTCAGCTGACAACCAAGTCTTCGTGATGAAGACGAAATCTGGATCATACAAGTAAGGAAAACAATAAAGGTGGCGCGGTTGTTGCCTAAACTCCTGCAGTTGAAAAGGTAAGACTTGATCTCTTGGGCGGCTCCTGCCGAGTTAGAGGTTTCCCGACATTTCTGATGTGGAAAGTTCCGTCGGCACGCCTCATCTGGCCACGGTACACCACCCACACTCGTCTACCCAATTGTTTATTGCGTGCTCTGCACTCCTATTGAAGTTCGAACTCACGGCGGCCCTATGAAAAACGAAAATGAAACGGATCAGGAGTCGGGCATGAACAGATCACGAGGAAGTAAATCAAGTGATGGCCCGGTCAGTTGATCCGTAAGCAAGTGGAAAAACAAGGTAAAAATTATATGAATTAGAAATGAAGCAAAAATCTCGGGGCTCACCGGAACCGAACCATCATGTTGTACCTGTGGAACGAGAACCTTACCGCTGAGCCGCGAGGACTTGTTTTGTCCTACGCATCCTTCGCTTATGGTTCAAGCTCATCAACACCATGCACCGTACTGTACCGTTACAAACTTTACCTGCTCATAAGTCACTTGTGAAATACAGGTAGGTTTTGACATCTATATGTGAATAGCATTACAGACTATCGATCTAGCCGGGTCTCCAATTAAAGTTCCACGGTAAGTTGACGGACTTCCTGGTTAGTGTTTTAGCTCTTCTAGACGTGATCCCAAAGGAATATACTATTTGACGCCCCGCAATATTCGGTTCGCTGATGATATCGTGAGCGCCACCTCAAAACATGTGTTGCCATGGCTCCGTGTCTCCGAGATATAGCAGTTTTGAGCTTCTGCATGTAATTGTTCCTCAGTGCGTGTGCAGAGAGGCTTTCCTGTTTTCTCGGTATATTAGTCTTCTGCTGACAGAAGATCAACTACACCACACCCGTTGGAGCGCTCTTCGTGTCGAGGTATTGGAGCGAGCCATTTCTCGATCCGGAGCCAGTTCCAAGCCAAACAGTTGGGAAGTACCCTTCACTTGAACACCCACAACTTTTTTGTGGATGGAGCTTTCGGAGGACAGGAAAGCAGGACTGTGGAGCACAAGGTGACACTTGTTACCTGAGTTTAGGCGATTTCAAAAAAAAAACTAACCAAGGAATTCTCTCCGTTGTGATCCTGTTGTGATCATTTGGGGTCACTTACAAGTCCTTACGCATTGAACTGCTATAACAATCTTCGTGCAAGGCCATTTGTAAAACAAAAAGTAGTGAATTTCGAAGGTTTCTACTTTCCAGCAAGGCTTTCATTTTATTCCTAGGCCTGCTATTCAAAAAGAAATCCCCCGTCGTGATCACAGCGCAGTCCCTGCCGGACGACACGAAAAACCCTTCCCCCCCGGCGCCATACCACTTCCAGTTCGTTCAAAGGTTTTGGTATGCTTCTAAAACACCAGTTTTCGCCAAGGATATCAGACTGTTCATTTGGCACCAATTGGCATCACCTCTGTAATGCACCATGCATAAGGCTCTCACTCAGAGGTATTGGGAAGGTTCAACTTCTAGATAGGGCTTCCTCCGTGAGAGTAGATGTGTTCCAATGAGCTGCACACCGTTGTACGCGTCTTGGGACAGTGAACTCAAATCTACCTTCAGAATTTGCATAACGATTCTCTGAACGGAGTTATGGAGGGTCTCATCCCCGCGTGGTCCTTTAACATGCGTTTCGCGAAGAAACGTGGAAGCGTCTTTACATTCATGTATGGAGTCGTGCTGAAACGTGGTAGTAGAGCGCAACGGGTAGGGAGGGGGTTTCTCTTGCGAGACGTCGTAGGATCGGTTCCGGGGCAGATCGCTTTTTTTCCATTTGTCCAAGGACATAGCCGACAAAGCGTCTAACATCTCTGCTCGCCTGCACTACGTTATAAGGGAACCTGCGATCATTTTTTTCTTGAAAGTGTAGACTCATTGTGGCCTGAAAGAGTGCTTCTGCTTGTACCCCTTGTAACAGGTGTCGCAAGGGTTTTTGCAATGAAGTGCCATCATATTCATGTTCAGTGGGTTAAATCACTCCTGAGGACAAGTTTCTAGCCGAATCTGATACCACGATCTCACTTGGAAAATGTGGGCTATTCCATGGGCAACAGGCTTGAGCTCACCTACCATCGATGACTGGTCTCAGAATGGGATTTCCTCCCGATAGCGATGCATACGGTACAAATAAGTAAGCGAGGTACTGTTGTTCGCAAAAAGAGATGACTAAAGAGTTATTTTAGATCGAAGACCAGTCATCACCAGTACGCTAGTCATAGTATCGCTGTTAGTTACCATTCAGTCATGACTATCCATAGCACATCTTTTTCGAAGTTGACCCAGAACCTCAGACTTCGCTAAGGTGACGTCTGTAGGGGTTACTTGACCCCCTAACACGAATATGATACCTGTTTTGCGCGAAGAGCGCTGTGAGTCGCGCTACAGGTGCCAACGCTTCGGCGCCAGCGCGCCCGTAAGAAGAAAACAGTAAAGAAAAACCTCTCTAACTCCGCTCAGAGAATCGTTCCGCAAATTTTGAAGATAGTTTTGAATTCATCGTCTCAAGACGGAACGATGTGCATCTCACTGCAAATGGCCAGGCTGACCTGTTGACCTTTCCTGGTAAGATTACCAAAACGGCAGATAGCACATTTCCTCCATGGCAGTGTTCTTCCTCACAAGCGTGAGGATACCACAGATACAGAAACAGGGATACAGAATCCTAATTGCGGTGTGCGACCCCATTCACCATGCTTTCCTCACCCGTTCTCTTTTGGTGATCATTCTAGGCCCCAACGCAACGAGAACAAGCAAATCGATAATCATGGTCTACTTGATCGAAGATACTTTTCGACATTAAGCCGTCAGTTATCTGAAGCAGGTCAACGGATAAGTTAAGCTGATAGATAGCTGGTAATCATAGATAACAGCGAAGAATTGCATAATGGACTTGAGACGTATTCTAACAAATGAAAGAAAATCGGTGTCAAATATATGCTGGTGTCGCAGGACGTTCTGCTGAACCTAACGTATCGGTTTATGATATTGTTTTCTGCATCTAATTAAAAAGAAAGGTTGGTAGTTCGCTGTTCAAGAAACCTGGTAATTCTTTCCTCAACGGTGGAATGTTCACAGTGGAGTCGAAGAAAGCTACTACTCCTAAAGAAGAGCCGTTTCCTACCTCATCAAGAGGTACATGACTTCATTCGGTTTGATTCTTACACTCCTATGTTTCTATAAGGAATGCTACTACTGTTTATGATCTCACACCAATTTTTATTTAGTGAGTGACAATAGTCATGACACGTTGGTTGACTCTATTGCACGAATCCGATTGGTTCAGTTCCAAAAGGATAATGACGAGCCGATGGGGATAACACTAAAGGTTTGTCACGAGTCGTGCTCACTATTCGCTGAACATATATCATTCTCACCTTAACGGTCTATGAGCTTCACTCTGTTAGAATTGTCTATGTATCATAGAATACTTGAACATGTTTTGCGAAGGCATCGCTCCTCCACATAAGAACGATACCTTGCTGTTGGCTGTTTTGTGTTTTCATTAGTGACTTGAGGAATTGAAAATTAGTACATAATCGAGATATACTGCCAAAAAGACTGTAGTGGTGACAGATACAGTATTATCGTATGTCTGCATGTGAAAGTAATGTATTAGGTCATCTCATTCAGAAACTTAGACTCTGTTATTCAAATAAAACGAAGAGTAGAACAGATAAAAGAGTAATATTCTGGTTTTTAGTTAGCTAGAACCCTCTATCACCAACGACCCGCTCCCAGTGCCTTGGGAGCTTTTAGACACTGTGCGAAAAGTGCGAAAACAATTCCAACAATTACGAAAAATTGCTCTCGATGTCAACATCGGCGCATGACTGACAAAACGTTTGTTTGCCGTGGGGCAGTACTTTCGATGACCAGAACAGGTCAAATGGCACGGCTGTAGGTCGGGCGAATAAGGCGTTTGAACAGAACTGTGTTCGGAAACTCCCCAACAAACCGATTACTCGGGGAATGGCAGCGTGGCGAGCAATTATGCTTCTTATGATTGTGTGATGTTCTTCATTCGTTGATCTAATTGTCGAGAAACGGGCAATAAACATTGCGTCCCATAACGATAGTTCCACCCATGAATCTCACAAAATCTCGTCTTACACGACGCTCTTATAAATGCCCCCAGATAGAAAATGTGGTAATCACCAATGCCAATTCGCATGTTAACACCGAAATCTAACTTGAAAGGATAAGTTTTTTTTTCTTCAATTTTCGAAAAATGTTCACTATGACAATGGAGCAAAATGATAGGCCCGCCTCATATTTTTCCGCTGCATCTCATCATCTTTTGTTGCGTAAAATTTCTCATCATTATGACTTCCTGCCTTTTCTAGACTGTGGCAAGAGGAAATCTATTATCGGACTTCGACAAATTTTCTGCCAGTTCATTTCAATGAAGACTCAAGGACTGTCGATCCGTCAAATCGCACGGATTTTGGACCGCAGTCATCATGTCATCGACAATTTTGTCATGGAACCTACAGAATATTGAGTTAAGAGAAGGGCGACGTCCTCCTTCGCTGTCTGATCGGGGTAAGCGCCGTGTCTTAGGAGAAGCATCAAACTCTACGATGCCGTATCGCGAAATTAAGTCATCTTGAAACTTAGTGTCTCGAAGGATACTGTTGGGCGTGTCTCGAAAAAGTCCTCAGTCATGATCAGGAAGTATATGAGGAAGGCACGGTTTCTGACAGAAACCATCGTGGAAACCGAATTGCCTTCACTAGAAGATGTTGCCGAACCGACTGGAGTAGAGTTAGTTTTTTGCTGCGTTGCCGAACTGCTTGTCTGTTTTGTCTTTTTAGTTTTTTTTCTAAGTCATGTTTTATGATGCGAAAAAACTCAACTGCGACGGCCCACACGAAAGCCAGTTTTGCTGGCACGACCTGAGGGAAGGCAAGCTTCATTTTTCCAGGCGTAACTTGAGACGAGGTGGTATCATGGTCAGGGCTGCATCGAATCAACGGGACGTCTGAAGCTGTGCTTCGTATCCAAAAAACGAACTTTTCCGATTTTATAAGCGTCAAGCGACGAGGTCTTCTTCCTTTCTGACGTAGAAATCGACCACAAAGTCTCATTTTCATGCAAGATAATGCACCGATTCATGTCGGCCGTGTCGTCACCAAATCGATCTGCCCTGGCCAGCGAATAGTCCCGACTTAATCCTAATCGAGAGTGTGTGGGGCTTCATGTTGTGTAAGACATCCGCGGAAAATGTACGATTTCACAGTTTCCGTGACCTTAAAGACAGCCCCGCGTTCTAGTAGTACATGGTCGTCCTTCCTTGTGCAGGTAGTTCAGCCCAAGCTAGATACTATCCCACTCTCGCGACTCCACAATGAGCGAGGAGTGAGCTACAGCCGCTCCAAGTTCTTGTTCTAACTCCCGCCCAGTTGCCCGCTCCACTTGCTGGCTGCCTTCTGACGGAGAGCCGTTCACTTGTTCTTTGTTGGGACGGCGGGCATTAATCGGAACTGCATGTACTTTTTGCTGACCGTGCACGTGCCCATGCATAATTCTGCTCTCCTTCATCACATTTTATTCATTGGGAGCACGTGCAGTCAACCGCAACCCATCTCGTAAGGTAAAACGCGCAAAAATCACGAGTGATGCGATTTCTGTGGTGCAGAAGCTCGACACGCACCACAAGCTGCACACTGTACGTAACCTCGAATTCAATCGCCAGGTTTTTGAATTTTTCCTTTTTTCAAGTGTTTTTTGTTCGTGTCTTTGTTGTTTTTCATATCATTTTCTTTGAATTGGATGTTGTCCACTACTGGGAAATGCTATAAAGCGATTTGTGAGCCTGTGGTTGCCCACGGACCGCAGGATGTGGTGTAACTGTAAGGAAGCAATCTTGTTTGTGGTGTTCTTGGGAGTCTTGTTGCTTTTTTCCTTCCTTGAGGAATTACTTATCAGCTACTGTTTCATAATTGATCAGCAATCATTCTTGACACTTTTATTGTGGGATCTGTCTTTAAAGACACTCGATTAAGTGGTCCTCAAATTGACTCCGTGCCTTTTGAACTGTTATACGTGTTCACAAAGAACATACCACTTCCGTCCTTCAAAACGGCCCATAAAGAAGTTATAGACATTTGCGCGTGGCAACAGTGGTGACATCATACTGTGGCTGGACGAGATAAGGGCTCGCGAGCAGCTAGCAGCTTCTATCTCTACAACGCCCACGCGGCACGTGTCGCGCGCGGCGCTTCTGGCACTTTGCCATCTTCAGTAATGTGAGCTTCCATAGCGATTAAGCGCAAATCTCGCACTGATGGACATACATTGAACACGGCTCCGGCTGTTTCAGAGTTCCATTGTCTTTGCAAGCGTGATTCCATTTAGGAGGATGTGAAGTAAAGAGCAGAAACCTTTCTTGGGTTTCATACTCTGCAAGCGATGGAAAGGGCGTGGACTGAACAGCAGGTAGTTCGTCTTCCATACTCCTCGCAAGAGGAATAAATAAAGGGCAGAGTGTGTTTCTCAGACTCACCTAATGATCTTTTGGATGGGGGCACTATTCAATTACTACTAGCCCAATCTTCCGACATCAAACCAAATTTACTATCGAGCTTTTTAAAAAAAGGCTAAAAATTTTGTATGCAGACTTTCAACTCCCAAACACGAATATCGCATTGCTTGAGGAATTGCCTGGGGCTCACGCCACGGTCCCACGGCTCGAGCTTTGCGCTCCACTCACTATGGAGCGCGCGCCCTTCACGTCCAACACACTCGTCCATGACTGCTGAGGGGAGGTCTATGTTTAGAGTGTTCCCGAGAGTTTTTTCCCTTCTTTTCCTACTGAGGAGCTACTGGGTTGGCCCATGAGTAGTGGCGTTTTTTTTCACTCGAAATCTCGCGCTTAAAGGCTGAGCCCGCATTCAAATTTGATAAGTTATGCGGCTCAAATATTTACAACAAGGTAGCAAGTAACCCTTTAGTGAACAAAAAGCAGAAAGAAATCATAGGAAAGGCTCTATATAGAACCCCTTTCCTAAGTGAGGTTGTACGTGCTCAAGGCGAAGAGAAGGAGCGTTCGCACGACTCCTCACTTGTTGTATCAGCTGTTTTCCCTTATCACCTCACTCTCACCATCGACGTGGAGAGAAGCAGCAGCGAAACAGCCGCACCATCAGTTAACCATAAGGAATGAGTGGAGGGCGGTGCCAGTGATTGTAGGTTGGGCCAGTGAGAAGAACGACGGCATCGTGGCTCTTCTCACACGTTTTGCCGCGAAAGTGATGTAGTTGTTGCCTCAGCGGACCTGACTACCTGCTCACGAAGGGAGAGAAAAATCCCACTGATTGCGGACGCTGCCTTTACGATAGAATTTTAAGTTTTTTTTTAAGATTCCGTTTGCACTATATTTGAGCGCTCAAACTGGAATTTCTCAAACTCATTGCTCAAACTGGTATGGTGTGCCAGCCTACAAACGCATGGCTATAGAAGTATTCGTACTGTGAAGGATGAGAATGTGAAAAAGGCGACGTCGAAAAAAGTGGATGAGAATGTGAAAAAGGCGACGTCGAAAAAAGTTATAAAATTAAAGTTAAAAGTTAAAGTCAAAACTTGCGATAACTTCATTAAAAAGTGGAGGAGACGTATCTGTGTCGGTACCAGTCCTTTTCAGTTGAAGTGTATGAGGCAATAGCAAAGTGCAAAAAAGTGAAGAGGCAGAAATATTATTTTTTTAGACTTTCAGACAACCGTAACCGCTTTAAGAAGTGGGCGGAGATGTGTTGGGGTGGGTTTTGCAGCATTATCTCGAGCAGTCCAGCTAACCATCCTCCCAGTGTGAGGGTTGTGTTTTTTGGGTTTTGTTTCCCATTTTGTAAAGTGTCTGATTTGATTGTTTGAAAAGTGCTCGTTTTTGTTTGAAAACTGTCCAGTTGTTTTTGAAAGCGTCCAATTCGGTATTGAAATAGCATAAAACTCAGAATTCGATAGCCGTTTCATCGCTTCATAGCAATTGACGGGCCACATATGTCGGTCATAGTGTGCAGTGTTCTGTTTAATATGATGGTGGAAATGTCCGATCAGAATTGAGTAAAGTGTAACTTCTATCGCCTTGAAATTCGAGTAACAAAAGCGCCTTTCTTTGCTCCCCGCGTCCCATTGTATGTGGTGTATGTGTGCAGGTTAGAGTGGAAAGTGTGTATGTGGTGTGTATGTGTGCACGTATATAATTAGACGTTCTACAAATATCTGAAGGGAGAAGAGTTGCATCCATGTAATAGGAGCACATTACTTGTTGCCCATGGCAAGGCAAAAGACAACGAAGTTTGTTCAGACAACCATTTTCATACAGCTCCTTACATGCTAGATTCATAACCTCTCACTGAAATTGTAAATCTAGTTGGATGTTTTTCATAGTGATGAAGAAGTGGCGGCTGGGATATTATAGAAAGTGTTAGGTCATCGCCTGCACCTGATTCACAGTCAGTGATATTCCAACGACATAACTGTTTTGCTGCTATTTTTGATTTAAGGGGTGCATACTCTCTGGCGACATAAATCATTTCCCTCTCGCGGAGGCTCCTCCGTCGCTGCCGAATTTTGAATGTTTGAGGTTATACTTATCACTTACGATCGACTACTAGCTGAAAACAGTACTATTCCATTATTCTAAATGTGCGGTCCTAGCGCTTTGTTCCACCATGATCGTATTTGGATGCTCCTTTTCAATCCGTAGTATTTTCTTAATTTGCCGATTTTTATGCTGAGTTATGCTGATTTCAAGATAGCTCGATGACCTCTAACTAACTGCGGTCATTTTCTTGTCAAACAAGAAGCTGTCGCTCTCTATTAAAGTCGATTCGCCCTTTGTTAAGGCTCTGTCGCACCCTAAGTGCGAGACATCCTTAACAAGATGCGACGAGGAATCATTCCTGCCACCATCTGCAGATCTGGCCCTCCTCAAGAACAACAGCGCAGTTGTTGGAGTGTTGAATGTTCCTCACATATTTGCAGGTTACGGAAGATGGAAGATGTTTCGTGGCTCGTATAATGCATGGTGGAATGGTGCACAGACAAGGTGAAATAACTGAATTCTTCCGTATCTTCGTGTCTCCGTTTATCGAGGGGATTTGTAGAAACAGAAGTGCACAGCATAACCCTCAATACAGAAGGAACAAAAATGCTCTGGGAAGTGGACCTTCTTTGCTTCTTATCAGTCGTGAGCAGGAAAGAGGGAGTACTGAACAAAACGGAGTGAAAGAGGTAGGGCGGTCAACGCTGTAGACCGCTAGTGGGAGCGTGGTCCCGTATTCCAACTTAGTAGTTCCGGTAACCCTCTGAAATGAAACATCTACTCCAGTGGGTAAATAGGCAGAGACCAAGGGAATTCTTAGTTTTACATCAGAGTGATGACTAGGAACAAGAACAAGGAACAAACAACGAGAGCTCAGTGATATCACTATTTTATGAACCACTAATTGGTTGTCGATTGGTAAATATGTCGGTATTTTTGTCTAACCTCGAAGTGCCTTGGGCTTATAAGACAACTGACTGGAGGGAGAAACACCGCTGACAAAAATGTGAACGAATTAGTGTTGCGGTATCGGTCTAACGTGATAATAGAGATATTACCTTTCTTTGCTATAAATGCCATTCAGTCGGTAGGTTTGCCGTCAGCCTGCCAGATGGTGTTCGAGTTCAGGAGGCAAGAGGTGAGGTTTTCCGATTTTTGTTGGTTGTAAGTGTATAAAATCACTCCTCCCAAGCCAAGTTGATAGCTATTCGTTGTACTATATCAATCTTAGCATTTATTGTAGCATCAGCATCATCTTATGCAGTAAAAAAACGTGCTGTCGGCAATTTCGCTATAAGTGGATAGGCGCCCGCATTACAGTAATTATGTGAGCGGCAGTCCAGCTTGTTATAGTATTGCGCCTGCAAGTGAGCACGCCTGAAAGTGGTGGTGGAAAAGAAGGTAGAAATGAGCTTCGAAATCTGGTGTATACATGTTTCATTAATGTATCAGCTGCATCATGTGCAGATGAGAGGTTGCCAGGTAGTAATCCTTGTTCCAGTAACCGAAAGGCAGAATGCGCGCCGAAGCAACGCTAGCCAGGTCAAGCCCGGACACAGGAGGGGAGCGCCGGCGTCATCCGGCTGTGCAGTCTGCTGGTACTCCTTGCGGACCTGATCCACTCTTTCCCGGGAAATTTGGCCCTCGCCCCCCCCCCCCGCACGCCCTGCCCACGTCCAATTGTCTCTCCAACTCATACCACTACCCCCTGCAGACTTTCACCCACTTTTCCCGGTCTCAAGGCCGCTATCGGACGGAAAGGCGAGGTGTCCAACTTCCGACCAGGATTTTGAATTGATTCCGCATGCCTTGCCCGAAGCGGATGTGCCTCCCTGTTCTTACCGGGAAAAGTCAACAGGCCAGTCCCGGCATTCGCATATTATGTACACCTACACATCTTGGGACGGTGAACTCCTTCTAAATTTGCGAAACTTTCCTCTAGAAGAAGTTACAGAGAGTTTTCTGCGAGTTGTCAATTTACATACCATCGCCTCGAGGGTGGAAGCAAGTTTACATGAATGAGGAAAAGTCATGTAATGCATCAGAGGAGCGCAACCGGTAGCAAGCGGAATTCATAGGCGCTAGGTCGTGGGTTCGGCTTCTCGTGTGGTCAGACCGTTGTGCATTTTCTTACGAACATGAGCAACGGAGCTTTTAACGTCGCTACTTGCAGTTACATGCCTGTACGAGAACTTGCAATTAGTTCTTTGGAAGCTGAACTAGTGCGCATGTTACAACGGTCTTCGCAAACAGCACGGTTTTTTTTACAACGAGTTTCGCAAGCAGTATGGTACACGTGTTCAACGGGTCGAATTACCCCTGGGACAAGTTACTATCCAAATCTCAAATTCTGACTTCACTCGCCTGACTGGCTTCGAGATGGAATCTCCCGGCAATCACGAAAACGAAGCAGATGGTGCGAACACGTGAGCCGGGTACTGATCTTTGTGGAAGGGCATGACTACAGAATAGTTCAGCTCGAAGACCAGCCATCGGTGAGAGACAAGACCTAGTACCGTTTGTGGCTGCTATTCACATGACTACTCTTACCCCGGTTCTTTTAGAAATAGGTGCGAAATCTTAGATTCGGCTAGTATGCGGCCTCTGGAGGCTATTTGACCCCCTCGACCCCCTGAACACGAACATCAACTCGTTTTGCGCGAAATTGATTATTTCATGCGCTGCAGGTGTCGGCTGTCGACCCTTCAGTGTCAGAGTTCAAGGAAAAACTGGGAGAAAACCTCAAAAGCTCTGTTCAGATAGGCAAAAAGCACAAGATCTTCGTCGTTGCCCAATCCCTGTGTGGGATGCGTCACGCATTCTACTGCCATTCAAATTCCTAGTGGCTTACTAAGTCCGATGTGGCCTATACAATGAATTGCGGGGGCCAGCCGATGTACAAGTCAGTTTCTTATCCAAAACCAAATCTAGTACCGATTTACCGTCCCCAGGGGGTCGAAGGCTTGCTTGGCCTAGGCGGGAGTCGACCCGAGATTCGAACCGAGGACGGGCGAGCGGTGAGCGCGACACATGTCACTACACCAACTCCTGCCCCTGTTCAGGGGACCGTTCCGCGTTTTTCAAGTAGATATGAATTCACTGTCCCACGGCGCGTGCAACTGTGTGCACCTTATTGCGAGTGGTCAGAGTGACCAGTCGATCTTCCCTGGTTAGCTACTGGCTCCGTGTTGATCTGAATCCACTTTTTCAGTGTCTGTGGATTGCTCTGGAATCACCGATGTTCGAAATATAGCAGCGGAAAAAAAAACACGGAACCGCCAAATAATCGCGTTATCGGCAGTTTAATGGATTTGTTCAACATGAAACAGACAAACAAGCAAATCGTCATATAAAATGTAACCAACAAAAAAAGGTATTCGCTGAGATAGCCTTTCGACCTGATGACAGCCTTAATTCTTTTCGGCATCGACTCCCCAAGGCCTCTCGGGGCTTCCAAGGGAATGTAATCCCATTTTTTTTGTAGTACTCGGAACAGCTCGTTTTTTATGTTACCAGTCGGATCACCCGGCTGCCGCGGGGTGCTCCGACTGGTGACATAAAAACGAGCATAAACTCCCCCCCCCTCCCGAGCTCGACATCTTACCTGCGTATATAATGCATTCCAGCATACCATTTAGTGTGGCTCAACACACATTTCGACTGAACAACAACGGGTAAAGTTCCTTGTCAACCCCAGTCAGTTGTCAGTTTTTATCGCTTTCTGTCACCCGCCGACGACTTCCTCACCTCTCCCCTATATCACCTGCTGGAATCAACGCCCAGCTGATAGTGCGTCTCGCGTTATAAACATGGTCACCTCGCCATTCTAACTCCCTTATCAAATCTTACCAACTGCTAGCAGCACCTGTCACCCACCTATAATGTTCCTGCCCCATACCCGATATCACACCTTGGAACTACGTCCCACCGTTGCTGCGACCCGCGCTATAGACTCGGTAACTACACCCTTCTGAGGCCTCTTACCGGATCTTATCAGCTGATAACACTCCTTGTCACCCACCAATAATGTTCCCTTCACAGCACCTATATTACTCCTTGGAATCAACTTTCCAAAGATACTGGGACGGTTGCTATGAATTTCATGACAACAGCGACGCGCACAGTCGACACATCACGATGCACACACCACACACACCACACCCACACACACCACCCACCCACCACACACACACACACGCAACACACACACACACACACCGGCACAGCCACACACACACACACACACACACACACACACGACCCACACACACACACACACACACAACAGCACACACGCACACACACACACACACCACAACACACACCACCACACACACACAACCCACACCACACAATCTTATAGGGAGGTCGTTCAGGACGTGCAGCGCTTTTGAAACGGTTTTTTGCATGATGTGGGATCACATGCATGGAGATGCCAAACTGGTGTTCATTTTTCCCTGAACGCCCTGGAATGCCAAAAATGGAGTGAAAAAGAAGTCCATGAAAACCGACTGTTTTTTGAAGCCTGAGTGGGCTCTAAATACTAGCAACTTCGGCCAGTTGCTCGCCTATAAGGTCCTTATAAAGGTTGTACTGGTATCGATGAGAAATAAGTCGCCGAATGGGGTCTTACTGGACGTAGTTAAGAGTCGACGGCTAGTTGGAATGGGCTCTTTAAGCAATCGAAGTGATAGCTGCGCCAACGATCGGATGGCCTACTGGATACGTGAGGATTCTCAACAGGCGGTGGGATGGGGATGATGGTTCGGACCTCTCTCAGCTTGCAAGTTTTGCATTTTTTATTTTGATTGTTGTCGCTTCATATACGTCTGTTAATGATTTTACTCGCATATCTATCATTTATAGGCACATCCTAGATAGTTATACCCCGTAGTCGGCTGCTATTCAGCAACTTCGATTTCACATACCATTAAGCAAGAACTTGTCTGAAAGCTGAGCTGATGATTTCGATGCCTGATCATGACTATGGCATTTACTTTTGCTCCTGTGCATTTTCGCGAAAGACGAAGGAAGACTGGCTCCAATTTCGGAGCCACGTCTTTTCCACGCACTGGATCGCTATGTGCATTCGTTTGAGGATCGCAGGGGCCGTTCTGACGCCAGATTGGTTGACGTCAAGAATAAGTGTCAGAATCGTGGATCAGGACCATCGATTACCCCTATAGGCAGAACTTGTTGCGGCCAAAAAATTTTTTTTGACTTTTTAGATTTGTGATAGACCGCCATTTGGTCGACAGTGATGACCGGAGACCTACAATTTGAGCTGCTGACGTAGCGATGAACGTGTGGGCCGCCGGGCATTCGTTATCGGCGATTTGGTGCTCATCAAGGTCCATTCATACTTGGCATGGCATGGGCGGCCGCAGAACAAATGAAAACCACCCAGACATGTCGACCCCACGGTCTCCTCAACGAAGATGTAGTCCTCCCCTACAAGAGGAGAGACTCATCCGATTTCTTCACTTTTTCAAATGAACCTGGAGGAATGTTGACTATTTTGTTCTTTTTTTTCCAGATGGCGTTTATGGTTGTTGCTATTTTTTGTCTCTCGTAATACTGAAATGAGGCTTTTCTATAACCGGCTAAAGTACGACTTCAACAAAGTGACTCTTGAGCGTACCCAATGCACAGACTCAAAAAATCAAAAAAAATTTTTTGGCTGAAAGTTTGCCTATAGGGGTAATCGCTGGTCCTGATCACGATTCTGACGCTTATTTTTGGACAACCCATCTGGCGTCATAGCCCCTGCCCTCAAACGAATGTACATTAGCGGCTCCAGTGGAGAAAGACGTGGCTCCAAGTTGGAGATAAATGGCACTGAGCTGAAAGTAAATGCCATAGTCGTGATCAGGGCACGAATAACTTATAAAGCTCAGGCTTTCAGACGAGTCTTGCTTAATGGTACGTGAAATCGAAATTGCTGAATAGCACCGACTACGGGTATAACTATTAGGATGTGCCTATAATGGCAGATATCGAGTAAAATGATATGACAGACGTATATGGAAGCGACACAACGGAAAATAAAAAAGTACAAAATGCAAGCTGAGCTAGAGTCGAACCATCATCCCCATCCCCACCGTCTGTGAGAATCTCTCCAAGTGTCCACTAGGCCATCGATCGGTTTGCGAAGCATATCACCTTCGATTGCTTAAGAGCCATTCCAACTAGCGCTTCGACCTCTTAAACTGCGTGCCACAGGTAGACCCATCGGCACTCTCTTTTCATCATCGCATTACCCAGTGCATACCCTTTATAAGGACCTATAACGGCAGACTGGCGCG